GTAGTTTACGTTTACGTTAAAATTAACGTTAACGTAGTTTACGTTTACGTTAAAATTAACGTTAACGTATTTTACGTTAACGTTAAACGAAAATTAACGTTAATTAACGTTAAATCTGACAGCCCTATTCAAAACTGCGTATTCTACTTAATGATTTGGACATGGTAAAAGTATTTCGAAGCCGAACGGTCGGTTTTCTGAGGATTTTCGGCTTAAAGCCGGCTTTTCCAGATGAATATTCTTATTTGAAGCATTTTTAATATAATATTTTGAAAGCTTATGCTTTCCTGAGTAGATCTAGCCTGTTTTGAAGGTTTCGAATTAGTATAGGTGGGTGCTAGAACGACGTCAATTCAGGAACAACTAACGACGGAAAAACTAAATGCTATATTTTGTGTATACTGACGCATGGCAGTAAGACTGATCCATAGAATGATAAGGTAAGAACTCAATTTCAGATTGTCACTTAACAAAGCCAAGTTTAAGAAAGAAGCTAATCTTCAAAAGAAAACTTTAAAGAGTATAGTACGCTCAGTACTCTAAACATGTACTTTTATCAAAGCCATTGCAAGGTCATTGTATGGAAGTCTCGGAGTTATGAATCTAACAGGTTTTTTAGTTTAGTGCAGAAACGACTGATTTACAAGTTAAAGATTGAACGACGGTGCTCCATATAGATGTTACTTTGTCTTGTTCTGTTTCGTTTTTGACTTCTCGTTCGAAGCAAGCACGTATTTTACACTTACTTACAATCCGAAATTGAGTTCTTACCTTATCATTCTATGAATCAGTCATACTGTAATGCGTGAATATTACGCAAAATATCTCTTCCATTCGTGCTCTTCTTTGCCTGCTGATAAGAGAGCAACTGTATAATTTTTCTTTCCGCACAACTCTGTCAGTATCTATGTAAGCTTAACAAATTTGCGATTGTAATTTGAAATTTTTTCTACAAGTAGAAACGTAGCCCGTAATGAGCTCGAATATATTAAAGTAAGAAGACAGATTCCAAAAAAAAATTTCAGCATTTATTTAACCTCGTTGCCTTTTCTAGAAAGGAATTGCAGTTGCTGATATTGCTACAAAAGGAGATGAACAAAAGAATTATCGAAAAGCATCTGACAATTATTTGACAGTCGCAGAATGGCTGCTACTGGTAAAGAAAAGTAAGATTTGTCCGATTAGAAAGCGTATCATAGTTTAAATTGTTTTCTTTTTTGCTGTTACTAGATGAACAACATTAATGAAGACACCAAATTAATGATAAAGAAAAAAACTGAAAATTGTATTAATCGTATTGAACAGATTAAAAAACTGCTCACTAATGAAAAAAGTAGAAGGGAAGTTGTGCAATTGACTCAATGTTATCAGTAGTATTTTCTTTTCGGTATGTTGTTTGTGTAATGTTTTTGTAAGTTTACCCCAGTTTTGATGGACTGACCAAATGCAATAATTTACATATGGTTGAATAGAGCATTAAAAGTTACATCTAGTGGCATGCTTTTTTTATCTTCATCAGGTCATATTAATGAAAAAAAAATTTTAATTTTGGAAGAATGGCTGGGAGATGGGTATTATGTATGGAAAAAGACATTTTTGTCCTACGTTTCGCAAATCAAGCATTGCCTCTTTTTATAGCATAGTCATCGTTTTTACGTCTTTTTCGTGTGAGAAAAAGTCAGATCCTCTCGTGCGCATATGTTTCTCGGATGAGACTACATGCGTGAATGAAAGAAAAAGAAAGAAAAGAAAAGATAAGGAAAAATATTTTATGTGCTAAGCCAATATCTCAGATTTCTTTTGTTATTCTTTTAACTTTGGGGTTTTGACGTGAGCCAACCCATATTCAAAAAATGATATACTCAATGTCCACAAAAGGTAAGTAAATGCGTAAACATAATTACCATTAACTTTAAGTTTAATTTATGGTTTTTAGGCAGTCAGTTTTATATTTTGCTATTTGGCACAACATTAACAACTGTAATTGTTCTGGTTAATTATTTTAAACAAAAGAAGAGAAAACAAAATCAGGAACGAGTATGCTTACTTATTTTGCTCTTTACCAAGGAACATCTCCAGTTGAAAAATCGCTTTTGATCGATACCCAGTGTGTTATAGGCTATCGACCATGTTAATTACGAATATGACCATGGGGATTTCCCATAGCCCTTCGAAGATCCGATTTTCTGGAAAACTAGCCTTTCAGAAACTCTAAAAGATAATCAAAACTTTTTTCAATAAGGCATTGTAGCCCGCAAGTTTATGATTAAAATGAGAGATTTCCCAGCTCTAGACGACCTTTCTTTACAAAGTTATAGAATTATAAGAAAAGCCCTAAATTAATTTCTTATTTCTGTAGCTTTGTGCTGACAATGAACATTTAGGGCTTTTCTTGTAAATTCTATAACTTGGCAAAGAAAGGTTGTGTGCAGCTGAGAGATGTCTCATTTTAATCAGAAACTTGCGGGCTACAATCATGCCTTATTAAGAAAAGTTTTGATTATTTATTAGAGTTTCTAAAACACTAGTTTTCCAGAAAATCGGATCTTCGAAGGGCTATGGAGAATCCCCATGGTCAGATTCGGAACCAGCATGGTCGATAACCTATAACCCACTGGATTTCGATCAAAAAGCGCTTTATTAGTTGGGGATGTTTCCTGATTAGTTCCTACCATTGTTTAATTATTTTCATATAGGCAAACGATTATTTAAAATGTACATCGTTAGCTGACTTTGAACTATTAGCTAAACAGCTGATGATGGCACATCGTTATTATTATTATGATTATAAAGCGGGCGAAGGTCAGACGTATCAAGCCTGTCGAGATTATTTTACTAAACAATTGAGAATTATACCACGAGTATTGACAAATGTTAGCGAAATATCGTTGAAGACAACAATATTCGGGTACGAGTTCAAAACAAGTATTTGGTAATCTTACAAGAGAGTAGAGGCTTTAAAGATACCCCTTTCCCGCTTCAAAAGCTTCGGAGTGGCGAGGATTCCACTCAACCTAAACCGAAAATAGTAGAAACTTGATTTTTTATAATCTTTGTAAGACTATATCGCTTGTTTTAAAACTGCTTCCACCTCTCTTGTATCGATTGTTTTTGAGTTTTCCACAGTTTTCGTTTTCCATCCGGAAACCTGCGGCCCCTTTTAATTGTTTCGTCCGGTCGGATTGAACCATTTTTACCAAAGATACCCAAGGCCTTGTCTCTCTGAATTCGTTGTAAAAAAAGAACGTACTGAGAAGATTCCACCTTAGACAGAAAGCGACCTTATCGCGTTTCGAGGGCGAAGTTTATGAATCCTGTAGATAATCGTCAGATGCCGCACAGGACGATGTAACGATGGGGTAGCTTGATATTTACTCTTGCCGACAGAGATCAGCTTTATGAAACAGTCAGGCCGAATTTTAAAAGGGTGCCCATCCCCTTCCTTGAGGTTTTTGGATGTTGTCACGATTGTCAAGATTTTCAAATGCATTTCTCTGCTTCAATGTAGGTACACATACGAATCACCAATTATGATTGCTCCAACTGCCTTTCATTGTCTTGCCCACGTTGACGGTGAAGTTGCAACAGCTTGCGGTGCAACTGAAGCCCAGTGTTGTTATACTTATAATTGGATGTATTCAAATATGCCAGAAGAAAAGGTTTTACAAACAACCGGTATACTCTTCTTTCTTTTGTCTCTCATCCCTTGAGTTCTATTTCTGTTTCTGATTAAAGGTCCGAAGTTTTTACACATTTATTTGACTGCACCCAATGAGTTACTTGAAAATCTTGTTCAAAAAGCCGACCGTAACGGCTATCGAGCACTTGTTGTTACATGTGATCATTCAACTGATTGTGTTCGAGATCATACGTTACCATTGTTTGTCGAAGCATCAAAACACCTTGATCCGCAACTGATGAATCGTATAACAATCCCAAATATGAATGTACCTGATATGATCGAAAAACAGAAACACGCTAACGATTCGATAACATGGACAAACATTGAATGGTTAAGGAAACTGACAAAACTGCCAATTATTTGCAAAGGTATACTATCACCGGCTGATGCGGAGTTAGCGGTGAAATATGGAGCAAATGGAATTATTGTCAGGTTAGTGTGTACACACATACAACTGACTGAACGTACCCTTCGCTATTGTTGTTCAGTAATCATGGTGGTCGACAGATTGACACAGCACCGCCAGCTATTGAATGTCTAGAGGATATTGTCAGCGTTGTTGATGGCAGTATAGAAGGTAGGTTTCGCTTTAGCTTCTATACTCTTGTAATAGTTGCTGCTGTTTCAGTATTCGTTGACACTGGTATTCGAACGGGCGCTGATGTGTTGAAAGCTTTGGCATTGGGTGCACGAGCTGTTTTCATTGGCCGACCGATTTTGTATGGGCTGGCTTGTGGTGGACAAAATGGTGTTCAGAGAGTCTTAGATATATTAAAACGTGAATTAATTAATGATATGTCATGTTGTGGATTGACAACGATTAAACAAATTAATAAAGATATTCTTTATAAACACACATAGAAATTTGATCATAAAATCGAGTGAAAGTATGTTAAAAAGCAAAACTTTGAGAGTCCTGTAAGCTTTACTACGAATGTTATATAATAATAACGATATGAGATCATTCAACCGTCAGCCGTTTTATATAACTTGTGTGATACAGAGGTCAACAGGATCCAACCCGAAATTTTGAAAAACTGACCAAAATGAATCGAAAATCCAAAAACTTGAAAATAAATGTCTTGCTCTGCTAGGAACGTAAAAAAATATTCATGACTCTCATCCGATCTGACTCGTTTCGACCGTTCGTCTGCCGCCTTGGGATTTATTCAGTTAAAATTAGTTTTGCCGATAGTTCGATGTTTTTAATGAAATGTCAAATGAGGCATGTCATAATTTAAAAAAACCAGACGTGCGCAAAATACCATAAGAATTTTGGCATTTTCCCAAGAGAAACTTGAGGATTTTTACAAAAATTTCATGCAGTCATCAAAATTTAGATTTTCATGCTTGGCCTATAGCGTCAAAATTCACATACAAAATTCAAGAAAACCATTTTGTTCCAAATAAAAATTGTCGGGCTATTGCTTAAATATACCTAAACGAGAGAACTCAGTTAATTTCTCTCAAATCCCTTGGATTTTCAGCAAACGAATTCAGTAGTGCCCTTGGAGGCGGACAAAAGCTCAGATTTCCTACTGGGATCTCAGACAGTTTCAAAAGATGTGATGCTAGAGAACTCTTCTCCAATAAATAAGTTTATTCAGAAAGTTTGCTGCAGAAAGTTTTACTGGAATTGTTGCAATGACCGAACTAAACGAATAAAACGTGACTTGAACCCGAACCGATTCAGCATTTTCGAAAACAGCCAAAATTTAACCTAAAAATTCAAAAGAAGCTGCACAAAAATTTGAAAAATATGTCTCAGTTTAGTTTAAACGTTATTCATTCAAGAAAGAGGGAAAATATGTTTTGTTCCTTCACTAGAGGCTTGAAAAACGTTGTGTGCCCCGAACAAAATCAAATTCTTTGAACTGATCGAAGCTGAAATAGCCGAATTATTGTAGATTTAAACACATAAATATGCTTTCGAACAGCAGACGATAGGCTAACATAAATTATTGAAGTAATGAACTACAGGATAAGTTAGTTTGGAGACTGCTTTTCGATAATTTCTGCTGTTAGCAAGTAATACGCTTATTTCAAAAATTTTACTTGGAAATTTTCATCAGCTATCGGATATTGTTCATCAATTTTTGAATATTCATGACGTAAATTTGGATCTCGTACACCACACGCAAAGTGGGCATTTTTCGAATAGCAGGCGGACATCAGAATTTTTTGCTCATTCATGTCTTGTACAACGAAGTTGTTTTCATCAGAAAAACAAAAAAATGATGTACAGTATGAGAACAGTGAATATATGCCTTGATATATTGATATCATCCCGCCGATTAATTGAATTATTTCTTATTAAATATATTGCTTCTTTTATCTTTCTTTTTGATGGACCAAATTCATTGTCAATAATGGACACGTTTTCTGGTTTAAACATGCATTGATGTTTCGTTTTTATATGATGTTGAGCCATTCCTGAATTTCAACTGTCTTCATCTTTTTCAATAACTCTATCTTGTTGTTTCATTCGCGCTTCAAATCCAGTCTTTATTTCGCCGTTATATATAGCTCCGCATTCACACGGAGTTTGATATAATACTGATTTTGTCATATTTTTAGTACTTCAGTTAAATGAAGAATTAAGTTTTCTTCGGATACGAGAAAAACACTTTAATTTGTAATTATTCTAATTTTCTTTTGAATACCTCAATACCTTGAATAATTCCTTACCGTCAGATAAGGATAATGGATATTTCGGTTTATCACTCAGGTCTTTTTTATTTGGTCTTGTCATTGATTTTAACTTATCTTTTATCAATTTATCAGTTTCTTGAGTAATTGTTGAGTTTATCAACAATTTTTGTTAATTTATCTAAATCATCTCGTTGTTTGTTAGGATCTTTTGTTGTTTCAACTATTCTTATTGCCATATTGGTGACACAAAGGTAAGATATCACGAAAAAGCACCAAAAAGACTTGTAGCATCGGGAGATACCTCATCATAACCTAAACTAAAAAGTTTCTAAAAAGAATCGCTACTATAAAACATACATTGTAAGGGAAGCCGTCAAAACTATGAATGAATCAATCGGATCAAACGAATCATTCGGATCATTCGGATCATTTGTAGAATAATGTGAAGCGCTCCTCTGTGATGTTTGTATAAGAGAGAAAATATATAAAATCTATCTTTTCTTATCCATTTTATTCAATTTTTGCAATAGATTACTTTTTATTAACTCTTGTATCTAACACATCAAAGAACACACCAACTGTGCTAATTAATTATTTGTCACATGAATATTTTGGTAATTTTCACGCCCTTTGTAGCCATTCGTAGATCGACTGCAGTTGGGTGAAAAAGCCTTATAGACAGCTTGGAGATGTCTTATTTTCCTCAGAATTCTTTGCCCTATCAGGCTATATGGTTTGCAAAATTTTCTGACCAAAAACCAAGGACTTGGTTTTCTAGCAGTCAGGTTTTCCAGAAACCCAATTATCAACTTTTCTCATGAAACGACGATATGTACCTCATCTGTTAGAAAAATCTTCGGGCTATCCAAAAGTATTCAGATTAGTTCCAGCTTTCACCGAAAAATAAAAAACAAGGAGTTCTTGTGATTATGACACACTGTACTGCATAGATAACACCCAAACGCTTCTCTCCGATATCGTTAATGACTGACCCAATCTGTCTGGATATTCTGACCAGCTCACTTTGTAGAGAATTTAAAGGGCTATCCAATGGTATGTTTTTCAAAAATATATAATTTTTTATTACCGCAGAAAAATGACTAAAGGTGTGTTTAACGCACTAAGATACGTGAAAATCATGACATCGGCCAAGTATTTCGACTATTGACCTGACCCATGTGGGCATATTTTCGAAAGACTTATTTATAGCTAGCTCATTTCAAAGCCCGAAGAATTCTCTATCTTTTCATATATAAAACATTCCGGTGCTGAGTAGATGAGTTCAAGAAATATTCCTTTAAAGTGCTAAGATAGGTGAAAATGATGATATCTTTCTACTATTTCGACAATTTCCCTGTATGAGCAGATTTTTGAAAACCTCGTTTATAGCTTACTTTAAAGCTCAGAAAATTCTCTCTCTTACTATGTATGAGCTTTGTTCAAGGACTTTGAAATCGGACGAGAAATTTGCGGAAAAAAGTAAATGGCTTTTGTTGAACTGGTGGCGAAAAATGAAAAGTAATTTTTGTTTGAAAGACACCAGAAGGAATTTTTGAACGTCAGAAGTGTTCTGAAGTGAAAAGAAAAGCATTTCCGATCATTTTCACTCAAATCATATTCGACCATTTTCTAGCAGCAACCGTTCCCCGTTCTTTGAAAGTGCATTTACGAGCTCGTAGTCTAGAACTTGGCCTGACAGCAGACGACAGTACAACTTAGTTCACCTTCCAACTTCAAAGAAAGCCATCTGTTTGATCTTTCTTCCTTCTTCACGCTTATAGAAGTGAACATAGAAATCAAGAAAACGA